TTGCCTCCGGGACGAGTTGCCTAGAATAAGCAACCGCTCAGAGAGTGAGGTTAGTGTTCGCACAGCCAGGCCGGGGCGGGGGTGAGGCAGGGGCAGGAGCTTCCTTTCGTGGGGACCAACATGTTCAGAACCAGACAGGGGCTGTGGTTGCAGGGCACTGAGTGCCCTCAATGTGGCTGGCGGTGAATCTTATTTTCTGTGTCTTTTCCCCAGTGCAGTCATTAGCGGGCACGAGTGGAACTGGTATGAATAAGAGGGAAAGAAGGCCCAGTCCTCATTGTCAGAAATGCCGGGACTGGGAGGTGCTCCTGGACTGAGGTGCAGGGCAGCTTGTGGGAGAGCCATGCTCAGAAAGAGGCAGACCCTCTGACTGGGGGGGAGCAGACCCCCAGCGCTGCCCCCCAGGCCCAGAGGGACACCCGGCGCCTTCCGCAGGGGCGGGCAGGGTGCGTGCACTGTGAGATGTGAGCCTGGGCCAGCCCCCTCTGCCCCGCCCGCGCCCCCGGCCTCCCACTGCCCAAGCCCAGAGCTGCGCCTCACCCCCCACAGCCTACAGCTCAGTGAGGTGCCACTGGGTCCAAGTGCCAGCTCCTGCCACCCGGCCTTTGGCTTCTTTCTGTTTGCCAGCCTCCCAAGTTGGCACTGGCTGGAGGCCTTCTTTATTTTTATCCTTTTATTGATTTTAGAAAGAACAAGGAAGAGGGGCGGAGACAGAGAGAGAGAAACATCGATTTGTGGTTCTATTTATCTGCACGTTCATTGGCTGGTATTTGTACGTGCCCCGACCGGGAATCAAACTCCCAACCTTGGCCTATCGGGATGGCACTGTAACCAATGGACCCTGGCCTGAGGCCTTCGCTTTGGAGGTTGCCTCTGTCGAACACTGCCCAGGCCTTCCAGCCATGAGCTCCTCCCACCATGCAGCTCTCAGCTCTAGTGGCACCTACCCCGAGAAGCCCCCCAGGACTGCCCTAAAGTACCCACTACTCCACTTCTTGTCAAGATGATGACATAGGTAAACACGGCTTGTCTCCTCGCACAACCCCATCAAAATTACGACTAAATTGTAGAACCACCATCGCCCGGAATTGGCAGAAAGCGAGTCGAATGGGAGTCTGACAACTACAGAATTAAAGAAACCACGTCCACCCAGACTGGAACGAGGGGCGGACATGCGGAACGGGCTGGTCCCACACCCACGTGTGGTGGGTAAAAATTCAGAGGGACATCTCGGGAGCAAGGAGTCCCAGCGCCACACCAAGGCCCACAGCCCAGGGCACCAGTGGCAGGGCGATAAGTCCCCAGAACTTCCGGCTACAAAAACCAGCAGGGACTGACTCAGGGGAAGACACATCAGTAGACTGAGAAAAGCCAACGAGGTAGTAGAAGCAGCGCCAGACCGACTTAAAGACTCCAACACTCCCATCGTAGGGGGTCCAGAAGCAGAGGGCAAAGGGCGAGAAATCGGAATCTATTTGAAAGAATAATGAAGGAACCCTCCCTAATTTGGGGAAGGAAATAGACATGCAAGTCCAGGAAGCACAGAGAGTCCCAAACAAGAATGGTGCAAAGAGGCCCGCTCCAAGTCACATCGGAATCAAAATGTCAAAGTTTAAAGATAAGGAGAGAATCTTAAAAGCAGCAAGAGAAAAGCGGTTAGTTAGTTACCTACAGGGGAGCTCCCATAAGACTGTCAGCTGATTTCTCAGAAGAAAGTTTGCAGGCTGGAAGGGACGGCAAGAAATATTCAAAGTCATGAAAAGACTTTCAACCTACAACCAAGATGACTCTATCCAGCAAAGCTATTGTTTAGAATTGAAGGGCCAATAGAGAGCTTCTCAGACAAGAAAAAACTAAAGGAGTTCATCATCACCAAACCATTATTATATGAAATGTTAAAGGGACTTATTAAAAAAAATAAAAACTATGAACATTAAAATGGCAAAAGTACATACATATCAACAATTGGATCTAAGAAGCAAACTAAGCAAACAACCAGGACAGAGACAGACTCGTGGATAGAGAGAGCATTTTGATGGTTGCCCGGTGTGGGGGGTGGGGATGGGTGATGAGGTGAGGGGACTAAGAAGCATGAATAGTTACAGAACAGCCGCGGGGACGTAAAGTGCAGCACAGGAACTGGAGAAGCCAAAGACCTTGCACCCGTGACCTACGGACATGAACAATGGTGGGGGTATGGCCTGAAAGAACGAGGGGTGCTGGGTGGAGAGGGGCTAAGGGGGAAAATTGGGACAACTGAAATGGCATAATCAATAAGATGTAATAGGAAGTTTAGAAAATTAAAGAGAGAAAGTAAGTAAAGCACCTCTGCCCACTCTGACCCCAGTCACCATCTGGGGAGCCTCGTCGGACTGATGGGGGCACTGGCTTGTCACCCCCTCTCCTGCCTCCGGAACGAGAGGTCGCGGCCTCCTGCCAGCACCTCGGACCCCGAGGGCCCGGGAGAGCGGGGCGCTCCGTCGGCCTGGGCGGCAGAAGCACAGTGCCCGGTGCACCTGGGACCTGCCCCGGGCCCCGCCGGTGGGGTGCAGTAGGCCCACTAGGAGGCTGCTGGAATATTCCAGGCAGAGCAGATGGCTCTGATGGGCGTGACGAGGGGGGACATTCGGAAGGCAGGACAGACTGGGCGAGAGGTCTAGGAGGAAGCCGATGAGAGGTCCGCCTGCAGCTGGCCCAGAGGGGCAGGTTGGGAGCTGAGGGCCTAGGGTTTCCCACATGAAGTGGCGGTGGTGACCCAAGACAGGGTCGTGAGGGTGACACAGCTTCCGCCCGGTCTCTGCTGTGACTCTGTCCCTCAGAACCTGGCCGCCCACCTGCGTGAGCAAGCCCAGGCCACGCAGGAGCCCCTGAGACACCCAGCATCCCAGCCCCTGCTCCAGCCTCCGTGTCCTTATCTGGAAGACGGGAGTGACCACCTTCCCCCCATTCAGACGACCACCCAGGACAGGAGGATGGCACTGTGACCACAGCACCCAGCCTCCTCTTCCAGGCAACGGCCCCTCAGGGCCCCTGCCGTCTGCTCCCAGGATGGTGGCGGGAGGGGGTGACATGGCCTGGTGTCATGGCTGAATGTCCCCAGCGCTCCCGTGTGCGAGCTCCAGCCCCCAGTGGGAGGGTGTTGGGAGTGAGACCCAAGGAGGAGATGAGGTTCAGGTGCTGTTACAGACTCCAGCCCTCACCAGGGATCAGAGTCCTTCTAAGAAGAGACAGTAAGTCTGTCACCTGAGGACATGGGAGGTGGCCCTCCCCAGGGACCGCACCTGCCAGCACCTTGAGCTGGGACTCCCAGCCTTCGGGACAGGGAGTCTGAGCCCCCAGCCTGCAGTGCGGGTCGGGGTTCCCAGAGCTAAGGCCAATGTCCCCGTTTCCTCACCCGTACAGTGTGTTCTAGCCCCTGAGGTCACCCGTGGGGACACGATTTGTAAACTTGGCACCCACACACACGGGGACATGTCTGTTTGCTCACAAGGCTGAGGTCAGCCAGCACCTGCGCCCGGCGTGTGACCTCAGCTGGGGTCCCTGCTCTCCTCGCAGTGGTGGGAGTCCTCTGACCTCCCCCCGGGGGATCTCTCTGGGTCTGTCACCGTGGCTGCCGTGTCCCCGGGGACCCACAGCCTCTGCTAGTAGCACCGCCACAGCCAGGCATAAAAATAGAGGGGGGCCGAACATCCACAGTCCCACGCGGCACCTCCAGGTGTTTCGACGGCGAGACTGCCCGTGTCGCTCAGTTCTGTGACCTTCCTGCCGGATACACAGAACGAAACCTGACTGGGAAGACCCTTCGGGCGGCGGCACGGGGGGCAGCTCAGGCAGCCAGCTGCGACCTTCAGCCCTCAGCGAGCCGCAGGTCGTGAGGCCACAGCGGTCAGGGAAGGCCCTCGGGGCTGTGCCCACTTCGGAGAACACACCCAGCCACGGCCGACGCTCCTGTCAGCAGAGGGTGTTGGGACAGGTGCGGTAACCCGCCCGGTGGGCAGGAAACGCACAGAGCGGAGCCTGGGGTGCACTCCGCCTGCCCCCCCTCTGCAAACATGAGGTCACTCCAGACCGGAAACACACAGGTTGCAACGAGAGCACGGCATCCCCCAGGTTTGTTCAGGGGGGCCCAGCCAGAGACTGGCCACATTACTGGGAACTCCTCCCTCACGACCCCCCACAGGGTCACCGACTGCCACTCCTGTGCCTGCTGTCCCCGTCTTCACACGAAACAGCGTTGGTGGGAAAGTTTTATAAACGCGTTTGGCTTGGACACAACGGTAAGACCACCCACTGTGACAGCCTGATTCTTGCAGACCTAGTCCCCCCGGGGGGCTGTGCCCAACCTCCCCCGGCCCTTTCTCCAAAAACACAGAGCTCCCACGCAGGCCGCTGGAGTCGAAGTGGGACCACTCGGGGGAGCGGGTGGGCAGGTCATCCTAAACGAGTGGTCCCACAGGCAGAGAGCCCTCCCGGCTCTAGGGACCAGGTGGCCGGCGGACGGATGTGGGACATGGCCTGGCTGATGAGCACGGGGCTTGGCCTGGAGCCTGCTGCCCGCTGTGGTGGCCACACACACCAGGTTCCGCCTCTGCTACCTGGGCGCCAGGTCAGGGGCCCTCGTCTTGATGTGGGGCTCTTCCTGCCCCTCCCGAGGGCCAGTGGGGAACCTCAGAGGGGCTTCCCAAGGCCAGGGTGTGAGCTCCGTGCCCCACAGCGACTGCAGGCCCTGCGGACAGCCCTGCCCTCTGGGGGCTGCAGTGCTCTGGCAGGAGGACACAGGGCCCCGCCCCCTGCCTGCGCCTGCTGCTCCTGTCCCCATCCATCCCCTGTGTGGGACCAACTCCTCCCGGTTCCTGCTCAGGGGCCTGCCTGGATACCCCCTGCAAAGCAGCATTTATCTCCCCCCAGGTGGGGGCCACCGCCATGAACCAGCCCCCAGAGTTTCCCTCTGAGCCCACCTTACAGCCGGCCGCTCCTCCTGACCGAGTCCCACAATCGCTCCAGGTACTGAGAGGCCCCTCCTGGAGCATCGCCCACCCCACAAGCACAGGGCTCCCTGCCAGCTGGGCTCCTTCTGCCCCTCTGGGTGGGGGGGAGGCGCCGTCCTGACAGGGAGCCGGGGCTGCAGGAGCCGAGGGCACAGCAGCTTCCCTGGAGGTCCTGAGGCCCCTCGCTGACTTGCCTGCCACGTCCCAGGCACCTCCCCAGGACAGGTCATGTCTCATTCTGCACGTCCTGTGTGCCCAGGCAGGGGCTCTGCCAGCAAGCTCTGTGGGCTGTGGGCCTGTCTGCAGGCAGAAGGTGCATTTCCAGAGCAGGCCTCCACTCTCCCATCTGTGAAATGGGTATAAAGACCCCAGGTCACAGACTCGTCACAGAAATGCTGGATAGGCCAGGGCCAATGAACCCAGGGTGGGGGAAGCCCTGCCACCCGAGTGCAGGTGAGTCTGGGATCCAGGCCTGGAGGATGGTCACATGCAGGCCCCACCTGGGGGGTTCAAGGAGCCTCGCCCGAGCAGGGAAGAAGTAGGGAGGTCCTGTTTGTCTGTAGGTGTCACAAGGGAGACCGGCAGTGGCCCCAGTTCGGGAGCTCGTCTGAGTGTTGGGGGCTGCCCTGAGCAAGCCCACGGTGGGTGGAAGCACCAGGGGCCAGGGGCAGTGTGGCCACAATGGGGGCGGTGGCCCCGGCAGGGCTGTGCTCCAGGCCCTGAGCAGAGGTCCCCAGCCCATCAGTGAGGTTCCGTGTGAGCAGTGTCTGCTGACTGGAAGGACAGTGTCTCCCGTCCCCACCAGACAGGCAGGGGGAGGGTGCTCCTGTGTCTACAAGTCAGAGTAACCAGCCCAGGGGCAGCACCCAGGAGGCCGCTCCGTCTGGCAGGCCGAAGTGGTGGCTCTGCTCAGGGGCTGCAAAGGCCGGGTCCCCAAGGCGACACGCCTGCTCTTCAGGAGCTCTTGCTTTGGGTGCTGGTGGGTGGGGGCGCTCCTCCTTGCCCTGGGTGGCCCCGGGCTGTGCCTGCCTGTCCTCTTGCCGGCCGGCAGCGGCTGTCAGAGTACCAGGGCCCGGGCCACTCTCCACAGGGTGCTCAGCGGCGGCAGCAGCGCGGCGGCCAGCAGGGGGCGCCAGGCATGGGGCGGACGGGAGGTCGCAGAGCTGCAGGCGCACACCTGGTAGCCGTCCTCCGAGTGGCTCCGGTCGTGCTGTCCGGGTGGGGCGTGGGCCCCGGCCTCTGCCCCCGCGCCCTCCGGGTCGGCCTGCGCGTCTCTGCAGACCAGCCAGTCCCGGGCCGTGGACTGTGGGTAGCCCGGCGCCGCGGCCGGCTCGCCGTCCAGCACCTTCCAGTACTCCCTGCCGCGGAAGAAGTAGGCGGCCCCTGCGGGGGAGGAGAGCGAAGGCAGCTGAGCCCCACGCGGCGGGGCGGCTGCACCACGGGAGGACGCTGGGCAGGGCAGGGGCCACAGGGCAGGCAGCGCTGTCCCGCGGGTCGGAGTCCCCGTCTAGGCCCCACCGGGGACTGAAAGCTCCGGAGCCGCCTGCAGGCGGAGGGACGCAGGAGCCGCCCTGGGTGTCCTTCCTATGGGCACTGCCGGGGGAGGGGCCCCCTATGTGCCAGGCGCCCCTCGAGTAGCTTTGAAAACAGAGCAGAAAGGCTCGGCTGAACGCTACGCTGTCTTCACCAGCCGCTTACCCAGCCAGGCAAACGGCTTCGTCTCGGCACAAGATTACTAAGAAGTGGGCAAAATAAGCGAGTGAAGAGCTCGTGAGAGCTTCCAAGTGCTCGCCAAGTCCAATCGCGCTAGTTGGTCGGCTGCCGTGCTTTCAAAGGCATCATTGAATTTGCTGTGATTACACTACGTTCTAACAAATTAATGGTTTTCACGCAAGTGTTTAACTTAGGCTTTTTTGTAATTCTACACTTCTCTTCGTAGCTTATTGTTTTCCCTTCCCCCTCGCCCCCTGCAGGCGAGGGTGCGGTGGGCGGGGCAAAGGCCACGCCCTGATCCGATACAGCTCCTGGGAACTGCAGGGCCCGGCCGCCAGGGGGAGCCTTCGCTGAGGCGTTCCCGTCTGACTACTTTAACGGTCAATTTTCTAAAGTACACCGAAATGAAAAATCAAAGAAAATACACTAAGATGATTCAGCTGATGAGCGCGTGACCACTTTTTTGTATAACGCGGTCTTTTCGCAATGTGGACTTTGAGTAAGTTTGATCGGTTTTCTCCCTACCACTCCAACATGGCAATGTGTGTGGTGTCCCCGGAGAGGAACTGGAATAGCTGAAGTTTCGGAAGGTGAGGGAGAGCTTTGCGGAGGGTTTGCAGTGCACGCCGGCTTTTTCTTTAAGTTCAACTATGATCAACATCATGATTTCTTATCGATCATTAACTGGATATACTGTGGACTATCAACCGGTGCATCTGCCCCATATTTTAGATTTAAAAAAATACTTTACTTATTCATGCCCTGGCTGGTGTGGCTCAGTGGATTGAGCACAGGCCTGAGAACCAAAGGGTGGCCAGTTTGACTCCCAATCAAGGCACATGCGTGGGTTGCAGGCCAGGTTCCCCAGTAGGGGGCGCTCGAGAGGCAACCACACATTGGTTTCCCTCTCTCCCATCCTCCCCCCTCTATCAATAAGTAAATAAATAAATAAATTCTTTAAAAATATATGTTACTTATTTATTTTTAGAGAGAGAAGAAATAAGGGAGAAAGGGAGAGAAACATCCATCGGTTGCCTCTGTACATGCTGTGACCAGGGACTGAACCGACAACCCAGGCACGTGACCTCAATGGGAATCGAACCAGCGACTTTTCACTTTGTGGGACAATGCCCCACACACTGAGCCACGCGGATCAGGGCAAGCCCTGCATTGAAAAAGATTAAATTTGCTCTGGCCAGGTAGCTCATTTGGTTAGAGTGTCGTCCCGATACGCCAAGGTTGTGGGTTCAATCCCTGGCCAGGGCACACGCAGGAATCGATCATGAATAGGTGGGACAACAGATCAATGTCTCTCACTCGCTCTTCCTCTCTCTAAAATCAATGAAAACATTTTTAAAGAGACAAATTATACAAATAAATAAGAAGGGTTAAATTTGCTTGTTTTTTTAAAAAGCCAAGTGGAAGGAGCGTCCATCCCCTTGCATTTGCCCTGTGGGGTCATTCTGTGCTGCTGGGTCAGGGAGGGAGGAGGGGACAGGGCGCCAGGGTGGCCATCCCACGGCAGGTGAGGGGACCCCTGAAGGGTCAGCAGCAGGGGTGCCCGGGAGCACCTCCTGGCTCAGGGCTGCTCCAAGCCCGCCCTCTCCACGCCGTCCACGGGTGGGGAGACCGAGGCCGCACCCCGCCTCCGGCCCGCCCGGCTCACCGTCAGACCAGCGCATGGCGTCGTCCAGCGTGCTGGGCAAACCCCTCCACGGGGGGCTGCGGGCCGGGTGCCCGGGGTCCATGCGCCGCGTGTGCTCATCATAGCGCCAGTACAGCTGGTCCTTAAAGAAATAAGTCTTGTCACTGTGGGCCCAGGAGAGGGCGGCGTCGACGCCGCCTGGCGGGAGGCCGAAGTCGGAGACGGGCCGCGGGAACCCTTCCTCTACGTTAGTGTCCTTAAACACCCAGTATCGGTCTCCTGGGGAGAGAAAGAGCCGGCTGGGGCTCAGCCCGCCTGCGGGCAGGGCTCCAGCCTTTGCTCCCCCCGCCCTTCCCCATTCCACACCATTGCACCCACCCCCACTGTGTGCAGCAGTCCTCACCGGCGTTTACTGAGCACCTACTGTGGGCCCCACACCTGGCACCTGCGCCATGCCTGACACCTGTTCTGCACCTGGCATGGACTCCTTCCACTTGGTGGCAACCTGAGCACCCAGGTTCTGGGAGGGCAACCGCTTTGCAGACTCAGGACGAGTCAGGGCCCACGAGATGCCCTTTCGCTGTTCTGCCTGATCGACTTCTACGAGGTGGTGGGCTGGGAGCATCTTCGTGGCAAAGACAAGATGGGCTCTAAGTGGACTTGTGCATGAGCCCTCAGGCACCACCGAGAGCTTCAGACCCATATGCTGAACTTTCAGAAAATGGTCTAAGGCTTTGGGGTCTGTCCTCAACTCTGTCTGGAAGCTGGGTGCTGCCGCTCTGCCCGAGCAGGGTGGGGACGCAAGAGCTCAGCTCAGTGGTGACAGCGTGTCCTCCCTGCTGCTCACTGGCCTTGTTATTCAGGACCAAGGAAGCAGCAAACATTAGAAATCCTTTGCTGGACACAGGACAGGTGGGCAGCCTCCGAGAAAGGTGGGGGATCCTCACCCAGCTTCATGCAGAACTACCAGGGGCTCCAGCGCCATTCTGAGCTCATGCCCAGAAGGGAGAGCAGGGATGCAAAGCAGAGCTGGGCAGCTGTGTCCACAGGAGCACTGTCCCAGCGGCTGGACTGTGGGGCAGTCCGAGTGTCCATCGGCGGGTGAAGGGCAACCACGGTCAGGTCTGTCCACACAAGGGAAGGGGACTGACTCTCAAAGAGGAAGGGGATGGGACGCCTGCTGCCCAGGGATGAGCCCTGAGGCCATGTGATCGGTGACGTCAGCCAGACCCACAGGGAGAAGCGGTGCCTGAGCCCACTCACGTCAGGGACCCTGACACAGCAGTCATGGGGACGGAGATCAGACAGTGGGAGCTGGGGCTGCGGCTCAGGGTTTAACGGGGACAGTTTCGCTGGGACAACGGAAACCTCTGGGGACGATGGTGACAGGTGCATGACAGTGTGAACGTGCTTGTGCCACGGAGCTGTGCGCCCACACGTGGGTGGGACGGCGAACTCCGTGGTGTGTGTTTTAAATCACAATTAAAAGTATTTAAAAAAATCCTCTGCTGGGGATTGGCAGCAGATGCAGGGCCTGCAAGCCGGGGCGGCAGGGAGGGTGGCAGAGGTGGTGGCCCCGTGCAGACTCCGCGGTCAGGGCCGCGGGCTGGACTGTGCGACCAGGACGGGCAGCCGGGCAAAAGCGCAGCCCACCAGAGGCTGCAGGCTTGACCCGGAGAAGCCAGAGCTGTGGATTGTGGTGGGGGACCCGTGGCTTTTACACACTGTACAACAGTCCAAGTCTGGAACACGCCCTCTGTGCTGGGTTGCCACGGTGAGTGTGGCCGTGCTGGGCGGGGAGACTGGCCCGGGTGGCCCCTTGCTGAGTGTGGGCGTCGGGCCCTGTGCCCCCCACGTGGAGGCCGGGCCGGGGAGCCCAGGTCCAGGCAGCAGGACAGCCCAGCCCTGAGCTGGGGGTTGGCCTGTCCGGAGGGGTGGACTCCACACCGTCACAACTCTGAGTGTAGACACCAGGTCTGCCCTGGGCGTGTTCCTCCGGACCCCTGACTGCGGAGTCTGGGAGCTGGTGCTCAACTCAGGCCCCAGCGTGGGTGGGAGGGGGGAGTGACGCCCTCCTGCAGGGGACCAGTCATTCTGGACTGACACACAGACCTGGACAGAGTCCAGCTCCTTCCCACCTTGTGGCCGTCCCCGGCGTCCACGCCCTTCACCTGACTCCAGCCCCATCACCCTCTTTGTGCTCCGATCTTTCCTGCCCCAGGACCTTTGCCTGGGCCATTCCCGCTGCCTGTGACCTGTTCCCGCGGGTGCCCTGGAAATAGCTGCCTCAGCCCCGGTGACTGCTGACCATGCGCGCCCCCAGCGAAAGGGCAGGGGTCCCGTGCTCTGACCCCTGGGCATTGCAGGGCCTCGAGGCACACGGTGCAGAGTAGGTGCTCAGCAAACACGCTGGTCAGCACGCGCGTGAACAGGCCGCTCCCGGCTGTGCCCGGGGCAAACCCAGGGCTGCCCCAGAGCAGGAGCAGGCACGGCCGTCCTGGAGGCGGCCAGGCGGGGCGCCCACCTTTGAAGAAGACGATCTTGTGGTCGATGGCGCGCTCGTACACGGCGTCCACGCCGTCCAGGTGCAACGGCAGGCCCCGCCAGAACCGGTGCATCTGCGCCGGCTGCAGCGACACCAGGTGCCGGTCCCGGGTCAGCCGCCAGAAGTACTTGCCTGCGGGGACAGTGCGTGAGGCGGCGGGCCTGGCCCAGGGCCCCCTGCACCCTGGGTGCCGCACCCCGTGGGGGCTACCTTTGAAGAAGAAGGCCTCGCCACGGATCTGGGCCACCGCGTCAAAGTGAGTGGTGCACCTGTGAGGCACGTCCTTCCTGGGCCTGGGGACAGACAGAGCCGGTGGGCGGGGCGTCCTGAGGGAGCCCTGCGCCCGGCCTGCAGCTCGGAGACGCACAGCAGGGGCGCCCAGAGAAGAGCAAATGGAAGCGGGCCCCTGTCAGGTTGGCCGAGGATGCACCAACAGCACCTCGCTGCCTCCAGGGCCCACTGTCCACTGTGACACCGGCCATCGTGCAGGGGACTGGCCTCAGGGCTGCGGCTCTGCCCGAGGGTGGGCTCGGGGCAACATGACGGTGACAACCAGGGAAGGGAAGGCCCGCCTGACGCAGAACTTAGAACACGCGGGGCTCAGACTCTACAGAGTGGATGCGCTCTCGGGGAATGTCTCCCCGAGGCTCAGAAACGGTGCTGGTGTGACACTATGGAGGAGGTGTCTGTCACACAGCCCGCAGTGACGGGGACGGAGGCTGAGAGGACATCAACATGAAACTCAATGCCTCTGCAGGCCCGGGGCTGGGGGGGGCAGGGGCGCCCCCTGCTGCCCGGGGAGTTTAAGGAGAGAGCGTCCCTGAGCAACGGCTGGAGCTCAGGGCGGTGCTGCTGCAGGGGAAACGGCCTTACGTACGGGGTGCTGGACCGGTTGTCCGGGGGCTCTGGCGGGAGGGCAGGCTCCTCCGGCTCTGTGCTGTCGGGCGGCGCCGTGGGGGACACGGACTCCCGCACGCCTGTGGAGACAGGGAGGCTGCGTGGAGCCCGGCGCACCCGCAGCCGGGCTGGACCTCCCTCCAACCCCAGTGCCCTTCCCGGTCCCCAGGGTGGAGACGGAAGAACCCTTCTGCGGCCGGCGGGGGGTCCCCAGCTTCCACCCGTCATCCGTCTGCTGGGGCCGGCTCCGGGGACGACTCACCGTACAGCTGCCAGGCGCGCACCCGGTCGGCATAGGGGAGCCCGTAGTGCAGGGGATCACCCACGGGCCCCAGGTAGTAGGGCTGCATGATGGAGCGCGTGGCCGCCACGTGGCTCAGCCCGATGGCGTGGCCAAACTCGTGCACAGCCACCGCAAACAGGTCCATGCCGTGGGCATCTGGGGATGGGGGGATCAGTGAGCCACGGGGCTCGGGTCACAGGACGGGGCTCGTGCACACAGGCCAGGCACCCACGGGCAGGTTCTGGGCAGGAAGGTGCCTGGGGGGTCCCTGGGGCCTGTGCGGGTAGCTGCAGCAGCCCCCTGGGGGGCAACAGGGTCTACGCCCCACTCACAGCAGGGTCAGCAACATTTCCTGGGCAAGGACAGCCCCTCGGCCAGTCGGAGGACACAGGGAGCCATGTCCCAGGCCCGAAAGCCCGGCTGCACCCAGCCAGGTGGGGGCACCTACCGGAGACGGCGGGTGAGGCCGACCCGGGCTGGGACTGCCCGGCCGCTCCCGTGAGCAGACAGGTGCGCACTGCGGTCTGGATGCGTAAGGAGGCCCTGGCGGCTTCCCCACCTTCAACAGGCCCCTGTGGCTCCTGCCACACCCTGGGGACTGTCGGGGCCCCTGGGCTGTGCAGGGCTGTCCCCAGGGCTCAGCCCGGACGCACCTGAGGACCGGAAGGTCCAGGCCTCATCATCGTCAAAGTGGGTGTCCCCGGCGGTGTGGTGGTCGCCCGGGAAGAAGGCATGGGCCACGGTGCCGCCAGGGCCGTCGAAGGGGTAGCGGTCATTGTGGTCGGCCTTGGAGAAGTCGATCTGGATGTCGGCGGCACTGCCCGCCACCTCGTGGAAGTTCAGGGGGGTGATGTCGCTCCAGACCTTGAGGGCGTAGTGCATGAGTGCCCGCACTGTGTCTCGGCCCAGGGGCGAGTCCCGCGGGAACCTGCGGACCCTAGGGCAGGCGGGGTCGGGGCTGAGGTGGGGTCACCGGGACAGGCCCTGTGCCCCCACCCCAGGCTCCCCGGGGTGTCCCTCCTCAGGGCTGGGGGTTGGGACCCTGCACGGAACAGGGGTGTGCAGTGTGACATGAGGCAGAGGCTGAGAGGAGGCCGTTCCGGACTCTGGGGGGGGACCCAAACCCACGGAGAGCATCCTCATACACAAAAGAGGACACGTAGACAGAAAGGCCCACTGGGGACGGCGTGACAGGGCTGCGGACGGGCTCTCCCCCACGGCCCAGGAGCAGCCAGGCCTGCGGCCCAGGGTCTCGGACCTCCGGCCCCCAGAACCGAGAGGGCAAAGCCGTGGTCTGAAGCCCCGGTGAGTGGGTGCTTGTTTCAGCCGCCCCTGGACGCCGAGCCCGGGACAGGCCGGGGGCCCTGCCACCCACCTCCACGACAGGTTCCTCTTGCTCCACCTGGTCGGGGCAGGGGCCTGGCGCCTCCTTCGAGCTGAGGCGGCGGCCGGGAGGTCGGGCAGGGAGCAACGCGGGGTCTTCATCAGGGCCAGGGTGGCCTCGTCTGCAAGGGCAAAGCAGGTGAGCTCAGGGGCCAGGCCCAAGGCAGCCCCCAACCGGGCTCCCCAGCAGCCCCGAGAGGTGGCCCCTGGCTGCCTGCCGCCCCAGGTCTGGGGGAATGGGGCCACTCTGCAGGGTCACTGACCCCATGGCAGGGCCGGGACCAGTCACAGGGCCCCACGGGGACCAGCGTAGCCAACTCCCCCTGTGTTTCACATGACACACATGTGTCCCCTGCAGAGCCCTAGGACAGACCTCAGGAGGGTCTTTGAAAAATTGGAATTTGTTGCCAACATGTGAGAAGTGGGGTGCTCACGAAATTCCCCAGATTTCCGGCTCCTTTTGGAAAGCTGGGTGTTGGGCAGGAAGGGGCCCCGCCCTGGGTGGCCTGGACGGGCACGGAGCCTCAGTCCCCACCGTGCGGGGTGGTGGAGAGGGGTCTGGGTGTGGCCGTGCCGCACCTGGGGTGCTGCGGCGACCACAGAGGGGCTCCCGGGGGGTGGCCCTGCCCCCGTCCCCCACTCCACACAGGCAGGCTGGGGGGCACTGGGCCTGGAATGGCGGGAGGCGAGGAGAAAGCGGGGAGGTCAGGCTCCGGGACTGACCCAGGACGCCGGTGGCCTCCAGGCCCGCGAAGCGCTGCATGGCCCCGATGGCCTTGGACAGCTCCTCTTGGGTCTGCAGCTGCCCCGTCGCCGAGTCTGCCGCCGCGGGCAGGTAGCCGAACCTGCTCAGCCACTCCTGGGGCAGAGAGCAGCGTGAGGGGGAGAGGGGGCTAGGCCTGTCCCCCCATCAGTCCCCAAGATCCCTCTAACCCTGTCCTGAGGTGTCTTCAGGGCCCGAGGCGTGAGGCCTGTCCTGAGAAGGGCAAGGAGCTGAGGCCCCAGTTTGGGGAACCAGGTCACAAGCAGGCCACGAGAGATGGGGAGGAGTCTATCCCCGGGGGGCCAGGCTGCCTGGCTCATGACCCACCCCCCACCTCCTTGCTGTTACAGTGGCCAGTCGCTCCATCCCTCTGGTCTGTCCTCTGGTCTGTGGGGGTGGGAGGGACTCAAAGACACAGTGGGACACCCTGGAGAACTGCCCACCCCTGGTGGCCTGCCTATAACTGGGACAGCAGCCAGGTGTCAGCCGGCACCCCGGGCTCGGTGTGGTTCGCGGCCGCGGAGCGCCGGGCCAGGAGGCCTGAGAAAGCTTTGTCTGCTTTGAGACGTTTGCCAACCTTGGAAAGCACGTATCAGCCTCGGCCTGAGTCCTGACTTGTAGAAAGAGGGGTGGGGGGCCCAGCTCAGCTCGGTTGCTGTCCCTCCTTCCCCCACCCAACCGGGCAGCAGCCTCTGGTACCTGCCCCTCCCCCAGGGCACCGCAGTTGGAAGCCCCACTGGGGGCAAGACTCTGGGAAAGGGACCCAATCTCGGGGCTGGTGGCAGGGGCCGCACACCTACGGCAGGCCTGGCGTGGGGCTCTGCACCCTCGGTCTCAGACATCCCGCCAGCCCCATGCAGACCCCCCTCCTCAACCCCCAACTCCTCCCAGAGCCCCCGAGGCCTGCGCTTAAGTGTGGAGTGGGGGTGTGGGCACAGCCCCCCGGGCTCGCCAGGGGAGACCCCAAGACTAACAGCAGGTCAAGCCTCTGGCAGGTCTGGGGGGACCCGGCAGCCCCACCTGCAGGTGGACACAGGGACAGCACCCCCAACAAGAAGCCCCGCTGGGCCGCAGAGGTGCTGTGGGGAGGGGCGGCTAAAACAGCCCCCCCTCACTTCCCGGCTCATCCCAGCCTCGGAGGACGAGGCAAACTGCCAAATGGCCGAGGTTTGATTTTTTTCCTGGTAGTTGACACATTTTGAATCATGGAGAAAGCTAGGGGGTGGCACGGGGGTGGGAGTGTTAACCACGGGGACAGCAGATCCCACGTGAGTGAGAGCCCGTCCACCAGGCTGCGGTCCCTGCAGGGGCGACAAGACCCCCCGGACCCCGGAGCCACGGCAGCCCCGCCCCCGACACCTGGGAGCCCACGGAGCATAGCGTCCCCCGCCTGCGCACCCACAGGCACCCGCGTCTCCAGGGCAACAGCCTGGGCGGGAGGGCGGTGCTGAACCTTCCAGAAAGCGGGGAGGGGGCGGGGCCACCGGCGAGGGGCGGGGCCCGGGCGCCCAACCCCGCAGTGGCTCCGCCCCCAGCCGAGCCGCCTGCGGGGGCTCGCCTGCAGGGACCCTCGGGCTGAACGGGTACCCAGATCTGGAAACCCAGGCCCGGGAGGGGCGCCCCGCCGGCGCCCCGCCGACTTGGGCCGCTGCTCTCCGGCCCCGGGGCTTCTGTTTATCGCCCGTGGGCACCACGTGCGTCCGTGCTCGGGGCCGGCGGACTTACCGCGCCCCCTGGGCGCCCTTCGAGACTTTTATCCGTTCCCAGAGGTGCAGCCACCACCGGGGCCGCGGGTCGCAGGCACCCCTTCCCCCCGTCTGTCCCGCAGCTCCTGGGTGCACGGTGGGGGCGCGCGCTGTGACGCCCGCACGCTGGGGAGCGCGAAGGCTCACGGCGCGCACCGAATCACGCAGCCGCCACCCACGGCGCCGTCCGCGTCCGCACTTACAGGTGTGGAGGGGCAGGCACGTGGGCCGACACACGCCGGCCCCGGCCTGGGTTTTGGTCCCCCTGAGGGGAACTTGGGGACGGATGGCTGAACTGTCAGGCCCTGTCCACATCCCATCCCTGAGGGCGCGCCACCAGCCTCGGGGGCCTCAGCATTAGCCCCACCGCACAGATGAGGGAGCGGACCCGGAGGGCGGGATCGAGTGCAGGCTCCCGCCTCCAACCGCAGCACCAGGGGAAGAGCTGGAGAAACGGGGAGCTGCGTAGAGCCCTGCCCCCCAAAATAACAGAGAGTACAGAGCAGGGCCAGCACCTGCTTCACGTCCCTGCTTCACCCTCTGCACCTCCTGGGCTGGCTGTCTCCTCACAGCTGAGCAAACTCAGTTAGTGACTGTGAGGCCACAGTCACTAACTCAGGGGGGGTGCTGGCCCTTGGGGCAATCCCAAGTGCCCCCTGCCCGGGAGTCCATCGACACACCCCCTACCAAGAGTTCCGGGCGCGCTGGGGCGCCGGCACAGACTGGGAGACCCTGCCCTGCCACCCCCTGGGGAGCAGACGGTCCCATGGAGACCCGCGATAAACAGTGGAGACATCCCATCACCAACAGTAATCACGCTGAGAGGTCCTGACCACTCACCGAGGTCCCACACTTTCCTGTGCATCTCTGTCCTCAGCTCAGGCCCAGTGACAGCCCGCTGAGTCAGTCCTCTGAGGCAGGCCCTGCTATCCCCACTTTACAGAGGTGGACACCGAGGCACAGAGGTCAGGACACGTGCCCGCTGTCACTCGCTGACCCCGGGCCGGCTGGCCTCAGGGCCTGTCCCCGCGGCACTGCGCCGTAGCGGAAAGCCAGGGCTCCCTAGCTAGTGCCCGGGACCAGTCCTGGGGGTGACCGGAGGCAGGTGCCTGGCTCTGTACCCTGCCAAGACCCGCCTCCTCCCTCAGGCCGTGGGTTGCGCTGGGGACTGCCAGCTAACGGGTGGCGGCCCCATCACCCTTCACGGGCACCAGCCCTGTCCCGCTGGAAGCCCATGTCGTCATTTACGGAGAGACAAGAATCACCGGCGCTTGAGCACCCTTGGCAGTCCCCGGGCACGGCGCAGGGTCAGAGCACAGCAGTCCCGAACTCTCTCCACCTGCCCAGGCCAGCCCCCTCCTCCTGCCAGACGCTGCCCGGGGCCCTTCAGGGGCACAGCCCAGTGAGGGTCCCACTGCCCCGCTGTGTTCTCCTGGTCCCACTGTGCTGATGAGCACACTGAGGCCAGCGCTTAGGCTGCAGGCCAGGGAGCAGCAGCCTGGGGGCTACACCAGGAAGGGGTCAGGCACTGCCTGGAGCAGCAACCACAGGCGTCCAGCACCGTCCTGCCCGGGGCCATGCTGGTCCCACAACAAAGCCACAAAGACTCCTCAGTCCCTCCTGGCTGGCCGCCAGCCCAGAGTCGGAACTTACTGGTCACGGGTGTTCAGGAGTGGGAGGGGTTTGGGGAGGGGCGTCTCTCAAGCCACATCCATTCACATTCAAGTTCCCAGGGAAGGGCAGAGGGCCTGGGAGCCCAGCGACACTCTCTCTCCTGGTTAACCCTGCCCTGCTCCCGGGTCCCGGCTGAGGGCAGGTGGCCAGCTCCTCCACTGCGGCGGCGGCGGTGAGGGATGCGTCTGGCCCCCCGCCAGGCCTGTGACAGGATCCTGAGCCCTCGTGGGGCCCACAGCTCCCCTGGGCACAGGGACCAGGGACCAGAGGCTGGGCCAGGGTGCCTGTCAGCCCTGCCACCTTCACCGTGCGGGCAGTGGAGGGGGACTGGGAGCTTCCAGCGCCGACGTGGCTCCCACCATTACCAACCCGTGCCCTGCTCAGCCGCTGGGAGCTGCTCGTCCTGGCCACCCTCACTTCCGAGGGCACACTGGGGAGTGAGACTGCCTGCCACCTGCTGCATGGGACCTGTCCTGCAGGCCCCTCCGACAGGGCCCGGGCCTCACATACCACGGCCCCGACCGGGTGGCTCCGGTTGCAGCTCACTGAGAGGAGCTGTCCGCCCGTCCCACCGGCTAAAGGCCTGGACTCCATGTCTGGCCTGCCATGGGGCAGACAGACTGTCCTCCGGGACAGACGGCCAAGCAGAGACAGCAGGCTCACAGCAGTGGCAGCACGTTGTCATCCACAAAGACCAGGGGCTGGGGTCCCCATGCCCCCGCACTTCTGGAAGGGTCCTGGGGAGGAGGGCCGGAGGGGGGCGCTGCGTTCCCCCATGGCCCTGGGCCAGTGTCCGGCTCCACAGATTTCCGACTCAGGAAGAACGAAGAGCTCCGGCCCAGGAGGGCACGGCCGGCCCTGTCGCCCCACCCCACCGCCCCGACAGCCGCGTCAGCCTGGTGCAGAGGCCTCAGTGGGCTTTGTTCCCCAGCTAAGGCCGATGGGCTGGGTGAAGGCGGGGTGGGGGGAACCCCACCCAGAAGCACCCACTGCTCCGGACCCACCGGCTCAGCTCCGCCTGGGTGGTGCTGGATCCCACATACAAAGGAGCCCTTCTTATGGGTGGCGGCAGGCCTGCGTGTGCAGCCGGTGGGCCCCGAAGGGCGGCCTTCAGAGGGGGCGGGAAAGGACCCCCATCCCCATAAATCCCGGGTGTCTCGCAGACCTCTTCCACCTCTGGGGTGCAGGCTCTGAGGTGTCATTTCCCAAAAGGCCACCAGAGGCCGCCCTCTGCCCACTACCCAGGGCAAGAGGCAGGAAGGTTCTCCCGCACTAGGCCTCCTGGGGGTGGGGGCTCCGGGGCAAGGGCAGCATCCTCTGCTCTCCCCAAGGGTCCAGACTCCGGCACCCTGCTGTCTCTGGGCTCCAGGCTGGCAAGCCATGTCCCCAGCCCAGCGCACTCCACAGGGTTCGGCTCGGTGGCCGCCTGGGTACTGGGGAGCCCATGGAGCAGGGTGAGGAGATGCCCGGGCGGGACCTGGGGGCAGTGTGCCTGACGGCTCTCTCGGGGCAGCAGGGGCAACTTCAGAGCTGCACTGGGTCTGATGAGCGAACTTGGCTGGGCCGAGGAAGCTCCGCTGCCTGACTGTGACCCGCAACAGCCTTCCAGACCTGGAATCTACACTCACTCAGCCCAGACACGGTGTCCACAGTGTGTCCCCCGGGGGGGGGGGGGAATCCAGGAAACCCCCAGCTCCCAAGAAGCTGCAGGAGGTGGGTAAATGCACACCTTCTCCGAGGCAGTTTGCCTGGCAGGAAGCCGGCTGTGGGGTCCCCCAAAGTCCGCATGCGGGAACCCTGGCTGCACCTCCCCTGTGCCTGGAGGGCTGGGGCAGCCTGGCAGCGGCTGGACCCTGTTTCTCATCCAGAACCTGTGGCCAAGTCCTGCCCAGCACAGGGCTGCAGATGACACCCAAATGCCTCCATTTGCCTGAATCCACCTGGAGCCCCCGAATGTCCGTGGCACTGGCAGCGCTCCCCCCCAGCACCCTTTCAGGAGACTGCCAGGGATGTGGGCCATGTGCGGGTGGGGCGCTAAGGACCCTGGCCTGGGTCCCTGCGTCTGGGCACAGCGAGGGCAGCTGCAGGGGCGGGAACCTCAGAAGGAATCAGCTTAATGCACCGGCGCCCTGGCGTGGCCTCCCGCGCCCGGGGGGCAGCAGACGCACGTCGTCTGATCTAAGTCTCCCAAGGCCAGAAGAGGTTCCAAGCCTGGCAGGCAGCCCGAGGGAGGGGGTGTGGGGAGGGCCACCGCCTTCTCCAGCGCGGCTCCCAGGGCAGCGGGACGGCCAGTGGTGGAGAACACAGGAGAGGCGGTGGGGCTCCGTCCGAGCTTGGGACCGGCAGGGGGACCCCACCACGCTCAGGACAGAGCCATGGGGGCGGCAGGGCGAGGCTGGACACCCTGGCAGTGGAAGTGGAGGTGGCGCAGGACCAAGATCCATGCTCGGGGCGGGGGGGATGCTGAGGGCCGGCTCCCTCGCTCCCCAACACTTGCCACAGAGCCAACTCGAGAACCACCCGTGTTCCGGGCGCCCACACTCCGCAGCGCCGGCCTGTCCTCGGTCGTGGGCGCGCGCCTCTCTCTCTCCCTCCCCCGTGAACGCACGCGGGGCGCACTTCTCCCGGGCTGCGACGCCTGCCCCACCCGCTCGGAGCCGCTCCGAGCCGGGCACGGGGCTCGGGCCAGGCGACCCTTGCTCCCCTCCGCGGGCTCCTGCGGCTGCAGCGCTCCGAGCGCACCGGGCGGGGAAGGGGCGGGCGCCTGGTCCCTGACCCGGTGCGCGCGTGCCCGACCCTCAGCCCATCGCCGCCTCGGCTTTGCAGCCCGGGAAATGGGTCCAGGGCGCCCGAGGGGTCCGCCAGCCGGGACCGCCTCGCGGCTGCGCACTCACCACCCCCAGGCTGAGATCCTCGGCGCGGGGCGCGGGCGCGGCGCAGCCCCCGCGGGCCGCCAGCGCGAGCAGCAGCAGCGGCAGCGGCGGGACCCGGGCCCGGGGCCGCGGCGGGCCGGGCATCGCGCTCACAAGGCGGCCTGCGCGGCGTGGACGTCCCCGCGCCCCGCGTCCCGAGCGCCCCGCGCGCCGCTCCCGGCCGACTGAGCCACCCAGCGGCGGGGCGGGGCATGCTAATGTATGCTAATGATCCCCGGCCGCGCGGCCCGCCCACCGCCTTAAAGGGCCCGTGCTCCGCGGGGATCCTAACCTTCCGCGCGAGTCCACCGCGGGTAGGGGCTGCGGCGGCGGCTCGAAAGAGGGCGTTTTCCGAGTGTCTCCACACAGTCCCGGGCGGGTGGGCACAGAGTCCAGGGACTCCGGCCGCCCGCCGGGGAACTGACCCTGGCGGGGCCCGGTCCGGATTGGTAGTAACGGCTGGAGACCCCGCGCGGCAGCCGCAGCGCTTATCGGACGCTAGGTGGCGCCCTCGCACCGCAGTGGGAGGGGGTAAAGGGTAGGGGCCTGGACAGCAGGAGGGCTGGGCCGGGGTGAAAGTTTGGGAGAGGCGGGGTACAGTGGGTCAGCGAGGACGGTCGGTCTGTGGTCGCTGTGGGTCTGGGAAGGGAAAAGCTGACTTACCGGTAGTCCCTGTGTGCCCGGCGCCTGCCCAGAGCCTCCCACATACAATCTCATTCACTTCTCCCAACATCTTATCAAAACCACTATTCCCATTTTAGCCCTGGCCGGTGTAGCTCAGTGGACTGAGTGCTGGCTGCGAACCAAAGCGTCGCGGGTTCAATTCCCGGTCAGGGCACAGGCCTGGGTTGCAGCCAGTCCTCTGGGGGGCGCATAAGAGGCAACCACACATTGATGCTTCTTTCCCTCTCTCCCTCCCTTCCTGGCTCTCTAAAAAAATTAAATAAAATATTTTAAAAGAAAACCATTATTCCCATTTTAAAGGAGGAAACTGAGGCCCAGAGAAATTAAGTAACTTACAGGAGGTCACGATGTAGAGGCCCTCAGCAGATCGTGCTGGCTTCTGCGGTTCAGAGGCGTGGGGCACACTCCTATATTGGGTTCTGTCCTGCTGGGCAGCGGCAGCTCCCTCTCCCCCTGAGGCCCCTCATCACGGCTGGTGGGGCAGGAGTGAGGCCCCATTGTACAGACAGGGACAGAGGCCCAGGCCCTTCACCTGAATCCACGCCCCCCCCCAACCTGAGGGGCTGAGGGGTGCACTCCAGGCAGAGCCCTTCCTCACTGTCCTGCCCCAGGGGTGGCCTTGCTTGTCCTACCTGTCACTCCCCGAGCCCCAGAGGCCCCTTTTGGAGAGTGTGCACCTGCCACAGATGGATGGAGACCGTGGGAGGAAAGGCACCCTGGCTCCCGTGACTCTTGACAGGCACATCCGCAAATTTTGCTCGTGTGCATGGGGACAGCTTGGCTGCCAGTCAGAAACCAAGCTCACTGTGGCTGTGGTCATGGGCTCCTCATGAGGGAACATCCCAGAGTGTCCCAGCGTCAGGTGAGGCTGGATCAAGTCACACAAGGATGTGATCAGAATAGGTTTCTTCTCTCTGTTTCCATGTGTGCTTTTTTTCTCAGGCAGATATCTCCAAATGGCAGCACAGACAGCACAGGGCAGCTTCACCCACCTCCTCCCAGCTCTTCAAGCCCAGCTGCAGTTCCCCAGCCACTGTCCCAGGGCCATCTGTCATTAGGTAACGTCAGTGGGGGATGGAAGCAAGCCCCACTGCCTCCACTGACCTGGGTGGAAGGGGTTTGCTAAGGGAATTGGAGGCACTGACATCAGAGGAGGCAGTGGGTGGCAGGCAGGGCTGGATCAAGGGGCCCAGTGGAGGAGCTGGAGTGGTCGACCCCTCTGTATAACAAACAGTCTGCCTGCATCCGAGGACCCTGAGAGGGAGCCCTGGCTAAGGGCTGTATGAGGCACTGTGCAGGCATGAACACTGAAGGGCGGTGACGAGAGGTGGCTTGTGACAGTGGCCTCCAGTCACAAACACAGGAAGGGCCCATACAGTCTGGGGTTCTCCCCAGATAGTGGCTGATGAATGATGTGGGGACCAAGGACATCAGGGGACGTGTCACTTTATGGGGGGGACCGTGTGGCACCACAGCTCTTTTCCCTTCAAGCCTGCCACTGAATCCTGGCGTTGGAATGTGGCCAGAACCAAAGCACCTCCAAGAGGTCTCCTTCCTCCCACCAGACGGGCAGCGTGGAGGAAGCTCTGTGTTGTCCGTGCCTGGGGAACGTGGGGAGCGAGAACCAGCCAGTACAGCCTTGCTCAGAGGCCACCAGAGAGCAGCGATCGGAATCCAAGAAGAGCGTTGTCTGTGGCGGGGCACCGTCGGCACCGGCCTGGGGAAGCGTGCCTGCCTTTGCCCACGGAGGCTGATGCAAGATGGAAGAGTGAATAAGACCAGAAATGCCCGTCCCAGGCTGAAGCAGGGCCATGTGTACGGTGGTGCTGGCTGGGGTCCCCCCGCACCCGGTTTGCCCCCGTGGCCCCCTGGAGAAATGGGCCCCATTTCCGAACCCTCGGTGCGCCCTGTACGTGGCGGTGGCCCTGCACCGGCCTGCATCTTGCTGTGCGCAGGCAAATGTGGATGTCTTCTCTTCCGAGCCTCTGGGTCCAGCCATGCCTGCCATTCAACCCCCTTCCTCTGACTTCGGCACCCCCAATTTCCTTCAGAAACCCCCCTTGGTCCTTGTCCGCCCCTGGGGCGTGGAGCCCGGGCAGGAACTGCTCATTTTCATTCCCTGGCCACACGCTTGGCTCAGGGAGGGGCCCACGGCCCACCTCCTCTGACGGGCGGTGGCCCTGGGCTGTGACCTGCACTGTTGGTCTCAGCCGGCCAGGCTGCAGGGGTGCAGGCAGCAGCTTCCGTGAGCTGCACGTGCTCAGGCATGTGTGTGCGTGCAGAAGCATGTGCATGTGTTGTGTGCATATGTGTGGGCATGTGCACATGTGTGTGGGCTTTGTGTGCATGAGCATGTAGGTGTGCGTGTGTGCACGTGTGTGGGGTGAGTGTGCGTGTGAGGACCAATGCTCCTGCTCCTTGGATGTGGCCTACACGTGCATGGACACCAGCTGCGCCCTTGGCCCTGGGGGTCGCAGCCCTACAAAACTGGGGGCTCGGACTCCTGGCCTCCAAACCCGAGAGGACAAACCTGTTGTCCCCCTCATGGGTGGTGCTTTGGGGCAGCTGCCCTGCACCCCAGCCTCCCAGGAGCCCAGCACTCTGCCTGTCTCCCTCAGGGCCATGCTCCCTCACGTGAAGTGACGGGGCTGCCCCCCTCGGTTCGCTACTTCCGGGGTCTCTGCCCCTGCCCCGCCTCCTTGCCAGGCCCTCGCCACAGGGCCCGCTCCCACCCACCTGCTCGCCTTCCCTCCCAGCAGTTTCCCTGCCTGCCTGCTGTCCATGTTCTCCCCTGTCCCCGAGGGTCCCCCTCAAGGTGGGGGTCTTGCTGCTCTGCCTGCGATGGGTCCAGTTGCTGTCTCCACTCTGCCCTTGTCACCCCCCCCCCGTGACCTTCCCCACTCTGGGTGCTCTGTGACCAGCCACATGCTGCTGGCCCAGCTCTCTGACCTGTGTCCTCTGGCAACGCCACCTTGCTGCATGTCCCAAACCCCAGGCATCACCCCCTCCCTCCTGCTGTCTCCCACTTCATGGCAGCCGCCTGCCTCGAAGCCCCAGTCAGACCCCTGGGTGTCACCATCATTTTCGTAGGGCTGCTTCTCACTGTCGCCCTGTGACGGCCGCCCTGAGCCAGTGTGGTTCGACGGGTTCCCCTCCGTGGGGAGCGGAAGCGCGGCTTCAGGTCTTGGCTTGGCTGAAGTCAGCAAGCTTTTCCTTCATACGCGATCCACTCCCTGATGTTGGCTGTTTGCTGTGATGACAGCATCGGCCGCTAACCCCAGGAGACCTGGAGGCTGGGCGTGGCTGAGGGGGAGGCAGCCACCGACGCTGCCCGTGACCGCAGAGCCTGGGCCCGTCCTCCCTGTGGGCCACACCCGCACAGCCACTCCTCGGTCCCTGCTGCAGAAGGCATAGTTTTGGGTCCAAGGTTCTCTTTTCTTTTAAATAAACGTCTAAAATTCCAACAGTTTTGCATTTGCAGGAAAACTGAGTAAATAGTAGAGAAAGCCCCCCCCACCTCACGCCCACTCCCCTCCATCGTCAACGAGTCACAGGTGTCACCGTACAGAGCCAGCAGCGACACACCCCCTTGACCGGAGTCCCACTGGGTCGTTTCCTGCGTTGCCCTAACGCCCTCTTCTGGCCCCGGGTCCCGCCCAGGGGCTACTCTCCATTCAGTCCGTGTGTCCTCCGGTCAGTTGTGGCCCTGCCCCCTCTCTCAGACCCCCCTCGTTCTGATGGCCTTGACCTTGGGAGGAGCACGGTCAGGTGTTGTCGATGTTCCCCTCCTCCACCCCCACCGCCGACGTTGGGATGCCTGATGTCTTTCTCATGGTCACCTTGGGGTCATCCATGACATCCAGGGACCTGCGGTCCCCATGACCGTCACTGTGGGCAGTGGCACTGACGCCCCCCCACCGGGGCTTGTCTGTCGGGTTCTCAGCTGCACAGAGAGTGTGTCCCCCTTTCCACGCCGACAGGACGCCCTCCCCCTTCCCTTCACACAGCCACTCACTGGCGTCAGTGCGAGCTCCTGGACACTTTGGACCGATACCACCTGGCGCGTTCTGCTCCTTGCAGCTCTAGCTCTGGCCTCAGTGGCTCTCCGCCGGCTGCCGGGCCCCCTCAGGGTGGCCGTCGAGGGTTGCTTTCGGCCCACATCCCTACTTCCTGGCACGGCTGGGCGCTCGCCTGAACCCACCGTCCCTCCGAGGGGCCCTGTTGGCAGGGGGATCAGGACCCAGACCTGGGGGCCGAGTGCCCCACCGCCACCGGGCCCGGCGAGTGTGTGGAGGGGGCGCATGTGCCCCTCGAACGTGGGAGCAGACGGAAGGGGAACTGGCCCCGGCACGGGAGACCTTTCCTGCAGCCGCGGGTCTTGTTAAGCCCAAAACGCTT